GAGAGAGAGAGAGAGAGAGAAAAAAAAAAAAAGAGAAAAAGAGAAAGAGCCAATTGGTAGAACTGACACAACAGGTAACACGGAAAAACATCTTTCGTTTTTGCCATCCATATCAAATACTGAATTTCTAGATCCTCGATCCTCACAATCTCTGCTCTTTTCGCCACGAGCGGAGCCGCGGTGGGTCCACTTGTTTGCTTTAATTGAATAGGTATATCCTCCCCTTGAGACTGTGTCTTGGGCTGGTTTGATCGCCCTGCACGAGGGAGGTGAATGGTCTGCTCCACCCTTGAGCTGCGAGGTGCTTCTTGGCTACTTTGACCGCCTGTTTTTCCTGTTTTGGCTATCGTGATTGTAGCTTCCGTCGGAGTCCAATTATCCGGAGGTTTAGTTTCCAAATTTGGCTTCCCCTGCCTTTCCCACGTCCAACCTTTAGGAGGACCGTTTTGGTTAGGACTCTCAAACATAAACCCATCCCTCATGACCCAGGTCTACTGTACGTCATAGGTTGGATTTGAAGGGATCTCTAATCAACCTCCCTGTAGCTCTTTGCTTGCGCATTGGATTCTGTCCACAGGCTGGGTCTGTATTTAGGTGTCCGTAAGCTTTACACCTGAAACACCAAGGACGAAGTTTATGTGCCGTGTGTATGTGATATTCTCTTCCACCAATCCTATAAGGTATAATATCGTCCAGTTTGAAAGGTTGATTAGAAGGCTGATCCAAAGCTAGCATAAGATAATCAGCACGCCTGGCCGCATATGCCGGCAAAGGGATCGATGAAGTCCACTATGTCATAGATTTCACCGAAGTCACGGATGAAGGCCGATTGAATCTCTATTGGATGTGTCTGAACTCCACCCAAAAATAATATTCCATCATCTGACGTCGTCTTTCATCCGGACCTTGCTTCTGCGGAGACCAGGGATATATTCTAACTTCAGAACGATCTTAGCGGAGTTTTTTCCACAAATCAATTGCTTTCTTGTCAGACGTGTGTAAACATAACACTGTAAACACGGACGCTGAAATGGGTTGTACCAGAAAATCTTCATTCGTGGCTTTCGGGTTCCCTTTAAAAAATGCAAGGCGTTTTCCTATCCATTTAATCTTATCATTACTCATCTGAATAGATGCATCATCATGAAATACCCAATTATTAGCATGATTTTGGTAAATCTCATCTCTTTCTGCTAATCTTTGGATAAGATAAACCTTAATCATAGTTTTTTTTCCTCTAGAGTCTACTACTCGACTTTCCGAAGGGCTGAAGAACTTTGAGAGAAAAAAAGCACGAGCTGTAGGGATATTGGAAAGGGGGATTTGAAGGGTATTCATTCGTGGTCCTATGCGCTTGATTTCTAATGTTTTAGCATGAAACGGACCCTTCACTTTCTGAAGCCAAGACGAGTTCGGATTTTCTTTTACCACTGAGGCCAACAGCTCTGTCCCTGTCATCTGAGCCCCTGGAATTGCATTGATATCTGTTGTTTCCTCCTTTTGTTCTTCCCCCCTTTCCCCTCTCCTCCTCTCTTTATTTCGTAGACACCAACACTTCTTCCTCCCCTCCCTCTCCCTCCACTCTCTCCCCTTCCTCGATTTCCTTTTCCTCATCCACTCGCTTCTTTTCGGCTTCCCCACCTCCCTTCGCCTCCTCCTCTCCCTCCCATTCTCTAAAGCATCAGGAACTCTCCCATTACCATTACTCGGTCATTACTATTTTCCTCCTGATCCTTGTCCTGCCCATTCTCGATGTCAATAGCCTCTGCGATCAAACGATCAACACCAGACATCTGATTACTTTGGGATAACGGATTAATTGTATTTCGTGCAACCACTTCATTTGTATATCCTGTCCTATATTATGAGGCTGCTACCAATGCAGTAGTCATGACCCCTTTCCTTGGTGAGGAATCATCAAGATGAAAAAGTGGGTTCACCATGATTGACCTCCCTTGTGGGTGCATAGTCACCATTCCGTGACTTATATTTGTGTGCAGCAGGGAACCTAATGGTGAGACCAGATATTGATTGGTATTGCCTATGGAGGAGGATTGGTTCAGTAGAGAACGGTTCCGACGTAGACGTTCGTCCTCCGTGAGGATTTCCTCATCAGAAACAGCATGATCCAATACATGGTTGTACACATACTCATTGTGGTTAGCCTGTTAATTTCCTGATTTACTGTTTGAGGGATTCTGAACCTTGGGGTTCTGGAAATCAAAGTCGTAGGTCGTGTTGGACATCAGAATCAATATCCCTATTTTGTTTCTCTATTTGGACCGTCAACTCTTATCAAATTTTATCTTCAATCTTATTTTCATCTCGATTGATTCTCTGATTTCCATGCTATTTCTTTCACACAACTCTCTCAAATATGGGCCAGTCGATTTGTTTTTCTGTTTACTAATTTCCCGATTTACCGTCTGAGCGATTCCGAACCTTGGGGTTCTGGAAATCAGAGTCGTAAGTCCTTTTGGACATCATAATCGATATCCCTATTTTGTTTCTCTATTTAGACCGTCAAATCTTATCAAATTTGATCTTCAATCTTATTTTCATCTCGATTGAATCTCTGAGTTCCATGTTAAATTCATGATTGAAAGTTCATTTGCATGTTAAAAAAAAACAAATCTTAAACTTGGTTTCTTAAATTTGAAATTCGTATTCTGATTTTTGGCATAGAATTTTTCAAAACAGTATTTTCCATACTTGCGGCGCACCGACACTGTGCGTTGTGCGTTGACCCATGGTGCGCGCGCACCGGCGTGTACAGGCGGCGCCACGCATCTGGGTGCGCAGTGCGCGCTGCGCTGCGCACGTCTGGTGTGCTGCACGCATGTGTGCAATGTATATTTCCATGTTCTAGTGGTAGATTCATTTGATTTTGTTCTCTCTCTCTCTCTCTCTCTCTCTCTCTCTCTCTCTCTCTCTCT